CGCTGGGAGATGTAGTTCAGCCCCCCTCCCGCCGCTCCGGGGAGTACCGGAGGGGTTTGGAGACCCTGGAGATGCCCGGAGAGCCTGGAGATGCTGGGGATGCCCGGGAGGGTTTGGGTACCCCGGGGGGCACTGGAGATGCTGGGGATGCCCGGGAGGGATTGGAGACACTGGGGGTACCCCGGGGGCACTGGAGATGCTGGGGATGCCCGGGAGGGTTTGGGTACCCCGGGGGGCACTGGAGATGCTGGGGATGCCCGGGAGGGTTTGGGTACCCCGGGGGGCACTGGAGATGCTGGGGATGCCTGGGAGGGTTTGGAAATGCTGGGGGTACCCTGGGGGCACTAGAGATGCTGGGGGGCCCGGGAGCATTTGGGGGTGCCCCTGGGGGCTGTGCTGGAGTTTGGCACTCTTGGGGCTGTGCTTTTTGGGCTGGGATGAGGTTTTCGTTGGGGTTTTCCTTGCCCCAAGCAGGGTTGGGGTGCTGCTTGGGGTGGGCATGGCAAGCGGCGCTGCCCCACGGGGACGTGGAGCCCCCGGGTGACTCTCTGCTGGAGAATCCCTCCCATGGGAACTGCAGGACACGGGTGGTGTTCCCCGCTGACACTGGGCTCCCAGGCCATTTCACACCTTCATTAATTATGTGCTGCTTGCAAATCCCCCTCCTTATTTAGCCCCAGTTCGTGCTGGGTATCCCAGATGGATGGCAGCTCTTCCTGGATATCTTGGCAAAAGCAAGCAGGTCCTAAACAGCCCAGCACGAAGCCGGCAAACACGGGCATCAACACTGCTATTTCTGGCAGTGTTACCATGCTCCGGGAGCTTCTCCTTGTGTGCTTTCGTGGTCTCCAGCCTGCGGGTGGTGGCAGGGTACCAGCCCCTGCGGGCTGTTAAAGGTGCCCACCAAGCTGGCAGTCCCAAAAATTTCCACCCCCTCCCTGGGAACTTCCCCAGCCTGTAGGAAAGGGTCTGAGGGGAATGGTTGCTCAAGCCAGCTTTAATGAAAGCCTGTCTTTGTTCTTCACCAGTGACACAGGGCAGAGGAAGCCTCTGAGGCAAACTCGGGGTGGATGACATAGCTCGCTCTCTGGGGTCCTCCTGTGGTCATGAAGAAGGTCGAATCCCACCTAGAAGGGCAGATAAAGGTATCAGGCATGGGAGGGCAAAACCCTGGTGAGGAAGAAGGGCAGGAAACCTGCTTTCTGGCTGCCATCACTGCTTAGGGGCAAGCAGTGGGCACACAGCTGCCCCCATCCACTCTGGTGTGTGTCTTAGGGCACTGAGGCCAAAGCAAAGGCTGGGCAGAAGAGCTGAAGCTCCCTGGCATTGCCATCTCAGTCAGCTGCCTCTAGTGGGTCTCCTGCCCTGCAAACACCCACTCTCTCTTGTGTTGGCACCTTCCTAAAACCTTCATTCCCAGAGCCATGCCAGTCCAGAAAAATCTGCCTGTTTCCCAGTGGAGAAGACCTTGAGAAACATCTCGCCAAGGCTCAGCGCTCCCTGTTTGTTCTCACTGTTATTTGGTTTCAGTTTCGAGGCTCGGGAATTTAAAGCCAATCTCATGTTTTCTGCAAAGCCTGGTGCCTAATTTTGGCCCATGGGGGGGGTTGATGCAGTAGGCAGAGGGATGACTAAGCTGGTGGAACAGCCTCCCCTCTCCCCTCGCTGCTTCCCCAGGGCTGAAAAAAGCTGCCTTGGCAATGGAGTCATCCTAAAGGCAAACATGTGGGGATTAAAAGGTGTTGCTGGACCTGCAGCGGGTGAAGGACAGGGCTGATTACCGCATAACGAACAACGTGACCAGGGAACAGGTTCTTGGATAAGAAGAGCAAACAATGACAACACAAAATACAAGAGCAACGCAAGAAACGCTGATGTGGCCCCAAAGTCTGGGAGATGCTAAGCTGCTTGCAGCTGGGCTCAGGGGTGCCAGCAAGGTTTCAGGTGCTGTACAGTCCCAAGGACGGCTGGATGAGACCAAGCATAGAAACACCTGTCCTGGGAGTAAATTTGGCAACTGCTTCGCCACCGGTAGCAACAACACGCTCCACAGCCCAGCACTGCAATGCTGTCCTGGTCACTTAGCTGTGAGATGGAGGTGCAGCGGCTGCATTGCTGCCTGCGTGGGCACCATGATGGGACCTGCTACCCCTCAGGGTCTGCAAGTCAGTAGCAACATCCCCAGAATAACCCTCTGAGCAATTTTGCATGAAACCCTAAAGAAAAGGGAGTTAGTGGCTGGTTGGTGTTAGGAAAAAATAATAGGCTTTTCCTCCAGGGCAACAGGTTTGGAGTGCTCCTCCCAGTGCCACCCTGCACCTAGGGCTCCTGGACGGGGGGGATGGCTGGGGGGGATATGTACATACACAACGTTGTTGTGAGGCTGTAACCGCAGCACAGGATACTTCTGCAAGACACAGAGGAAGTGGGGTGAGCAGTGGCCCTGAAGACAAGGCAGGCCATGTCCATCCCAAGCCAACCCATCGCATCGCATCGCATCGCATCGCATCGCATCGCATTGCATCCCATCCCATCCCATCCCATCCCAAGCAATCCTAAGCCATCCTAAGCCATCCTATGCCATGCCATCTCATCATCCCATCCCACCCCACCCCATCCCAACCTTACAGCCCTCTCTCCTAGTGCACGGAGATGTCTTCTGATGGCAGAGTTCCCATCCACGTAGTAGTCGATCCCTCGCAGCCAGTAGTGGCGCCCAGACCAGGGGCTGTAGTAGCCATGGAAGCATCCCCTCCCCGTCGTGGTGTACAAGGGCAGCTTGAGCGGCACGTTGGCGACCAACTCCTTCTCTGTGAGCAGAAGGATGGTGAGGGTGAGGAGCAGCCAGCCCATCACCTTGACGGACGCCAGCATGGCACAAGCCCAGCTACAGGCGGAGTGCAGGGACAGGGCGAGGGCAGTTACCAAATTCACTGAGGCAGGTGGATCTCAGGGGGTACGGCACGCATAAGCTGTTCAGAGAGGTCTCCACCCTTGTCACCTGCGAGGAGGGACGGCAGCACTTTGCTGGATCGCTATCCTTGCTCTGCAGAGCCCGAGGTGCCAGCGGCACCTGAGGCAGCTCCAGTTTGGGGGGGTTATGGGGGCTGGACTGTACCCTGGGCAGGAGGGGGAGGTAACAGCAGTGCTTATTCCAGGCTGCGCTGTTGTAGGGAGTTGCTCTCCAGGTGATGTATTTGCCCTCGTTGACAAAAACTGGCTTGTACTTCTCTGCAATGCAAAAGTGACAGGCAGGGGTGTCCTGTGGTGCTGGGGACATGGGGGACGGCCGGAGAGTCCCAGTTGTTCCCCCTCTCCCCAAAACACAATGCTGTGGGGCCAGGGGGCATGTCAGAGGTGCTGGTCCTGGGGTCCCTGTTAAAGATCCGTGATGAAGGTGACACCCACTACTTCCAGCTTGTTGGTCACCTGCTCCAGCCCACACAGCCTTGGTCGTCGGGGGCTATAGGGTGCCAGGAGGGTGTCCCCCAGGCAACACCTACCACCAAGGGGTATTTAGGCGCCACTGGGGGGGAGAACCCTGGGGAGCTGTGGACATCCCAGGGACAGGGACAGTGCAGGGATGGGGATAGGTAGCTGTGGCAAAGCCACAAACACAGATGCCAAGGGAAGGTCCCTTTGCCACTTTGGGGGGGACGCAGGATGTAAAATGGGTGTAACCTCAGCCCTCCAACCCCATGGGGATATGCCCCAGGTGAGACAGGGGGAACAGCTGGGACCTTGGCAGTACCTTCAGACCTGGCCAGCAGGTACTTGTCTGTCCAGTAGGCTGTGGACTTGATGGTGTTCCTGTAGTATTCCTGCATGGCCACGTTAATCAGATGCTCAGGCTCACTCTGGCTCGCCGGATTTTGCACGGGGGGCACTGTTAATCCCTAAAACAGTGGGGAGCAGGGAGAGACACCGGGCCATGTGGCAGCGTCTGCCCTTGCAGCCATCAGGGCACACGGTGAAGCTGATTACAGGGCAGGGTATAACGCTGGAGATCTGAGCACCAAGCCTCCTCCCTTCGCAGTGGTTGGACAATGGGGGTCATAGCAGCACCGTGGTCCCTCCCCACCCCCCCCAAGCTTCCTTTTTCCCAAAAACCAGGGGACAGAGGGTGGTTGGGCATCACTGGCTCCTCTCCCCCTGCACCTCTCCGGGCACTTTGCAGAGAGGGAGATGGGGTGGGTGCGCTGGGACTGCCAGGTATGGGGCCGGCAGAGGTTGAGGAGGGTGTTACAGGACCAAACCAGTGTCCTACAGCTGGCACAGCCCGAGGTGGCTGGGGTCTTGCAGGGCTCTGGTTCCATGAGCCATTTCTGTCCCTGCGCAGTGGTGACATCTTTCTCCATGCCCTCTGCTGGCTCCCTCGTTATAGTGCACATGGCTAACGAGGCTCCGACAGATGAGCCAGTTTGCAGCCTGCGTTGCGTTGGAGCCTACACCCCGGTGGGCCCATGGAAGGAAAACTGCATGTCCCCCAGGCACCCCCTGCAGTGATCAAAAGCCCTTCTTCCTCCAGGACCAGGGCTGGGAGGGTTTTTTTTTTTGGTGCTGGGAAGGGGTTTTTTGGTGCTGGGAGGGTTTTTTTGGTGCTCGCGTATCCCTGTGGCATGGAAGGGCCCCCAGTCAGAACTGAGCTGAGCCTGGGGGCTGTGTATTTGGAGCAGCTCTGTGAGCCACCCAATCTGCCCCCAGCTTCATTGCCACCTTGTCACACAGCAGGCCTGGGCTGAGCTCTGCCCCTGCCTCAGTTTCCCCTTCCTCAGCAGGTCCTGCCCCCTGTGGACTCTGAAAACTACTGATGAACAGGGCTGACGTGTGAGAGCTTGTGGTGGTGACCGCCAGCCCTGAGAGCCCAAAGCCACCGCGGGGTGCAGGTCCAGGGGACAAGAAGCCAGTGAGCACACCCTCAGGGGTGTCAAAAGCTTTGCTAACCAGGGAGCATGCCCACCTCACCATTACACACACGCAGTGAGGCACCCTGTGAGTCTCTGTGCCACCCCCCTGCCTGGCACCAAGCACCCGCAGCTGGGCAGGGGCAGAAACCCTGAATTTTCCTCCTCCAGCAACATTTACCTTGGTCACAAAGTTGTTGTCCCTCCAGAGAGGCTGCGGAATGTGCTTGTAGAGGGTCTTTTTGATGGTGCATGGTGGGCGGTAGGAGTCGGTGTAAGTGCTGATGGGAGTCTTGTGTTTTTTGGAGAAGGGGAACATGGTGCAGCAGCCTGCTGGGATGGGAGCGCTTGGAGTCCCGGAGGGTCCCAAGGAAACCCTGCTGGATGAGCAGCACTGCGAGGGGCTAGGGGGGCTTGCAGCCCACGCAGGAAAGGGAACAGAGCTGGTGCCACTGCTCTGCCAGCCCAGGGTGGTGCTTGTGCTGTCAGTGATGTCACAGTGCGGGAGCAGGGGGATTTGGTGGCTTTCTGTCAGTCCCGTAGCTACGCTCTGGTTCTAGCCCAGGGCATGGCAACTGCTGCCTGTGTTCCACCCCACCACAGGCTTTGGCCCCGGGGGCTTCCTCCCCTCCTGCAGGCAGTCACCTTAACAATGGTAGGAAACAGTTTCAGCTGGTCCTAGTCAGGATAATTTTATTTTGAGAGGCACAGGAGCAGAGATTGTGGGTTCTCCAGCCCTTCTCCCCGCTATTTCCTTGGAAACACCACCACAGCAGTGCAGCCACTGCCTGGGGGCACAGCACCAGGCACCGCTGTGCCAGGCTGCTGGGGTAGCCAGGGGAATTATTGCCTGCTCTGTCCCCTCTTTTTCATTAAAAAGCTGGATTTTGGTGATCCTGTGTGGCTTCTTCACTCTTCTGTCCTGAGTGGTGGGCTCTGTGGTCTGAGTGAGCCATCCTCATCCGTCTCAGTGCAGAGAGGCGGCTGGGTGATGCCAGGGAGGGATTTACAGGAATTGGGCTTGCTTTTCCCCAGAGCTGGGGAGGTTGAGCAGAAACCCCTACCCCTGCAGAGACCTGGGCCTGGCTTGTCACACACTGCCAGCTCGGACCCCTGCTCTGCTCCTGGCTCCTGGCTCCCTTCTGCTGCCACCTTTTTGGAGATGACACGAGAAGATCTGTGTCCATCTCAGCAGGGTGGCTGCCTTTCCACGCCCCCCCCCCCAAAAAAAAAAAGGTCTGCAGAGCCCTACTGTGTTTGCTGAGGGTGATGGCAGGGGTGAGCAGCCCTGGGGCACTCGAATGCCTCCAGGGAAATGTGATTAATGGATTAATGCAACGTTAGAGATTAAATAAAGAAAAAGTTGCCATTGATTTTCACACCCCGCTGGTCTCTTGTCGAGCCAGGCCTACGCTCCCCCTCAGCCCTGTCCCCTCCTGGGAGCCAGTGGGAAGCTGGGAGGGAAGAGTGGACAGATCTGGGGAGCACAGATCTGCAGAGAGAGGTGGAGTCCAAACCTCTCAACTGGGGGGATGATTCCAATGCCAGATTGGCTACCAGCATGAGCCCCTGGCCCCCTCACAGCTGTCCCCTGTCCCTGACAATCCCTGGGGTTTCCAGCTTCTGGCACTGGACTTTAAAATCAGTGCTTGGCTCCCATGCCAACAGCTTTGAGGGGCAGAAATGGATGCCACGCTGGAGAAAAGGTTATTCCACCCCAAGCAGCACTTCCTTCTGCTTCTGTCGTAGCCCAGATCCAGGGGCTGGGGCCAGCTCGTGTGCCTTATCCCTGGCAAGAAGTGTTTCCCAAATGCTGGCTGGGGGCTGGATGGCCCCGTCAGGTTTCCCTGTGCCTTATGGCACAGCTCCACACCAGAAGCTTCTGCTGGGCCAGACCAGGCTGGTCTTGGCCATGTCATGAAGCCCTCCCTCCCCGTGACTCCTGGGGGCTCAGAGGAGATGGCGCAGTTCATACCCTCTCACCCCCGTTCACCCCAGTGAGAAAGGCTGGCAGGCTGTTTTTCATATGTATGCTTTTTAATATCATTAATTCTGTTACACTACACACAACCAGTAACAATGATAAATACTGCAATGGAAATGTTAAAAAAAATATTATACACGTTTCATGTTTTTGAAATAAAACAACCCACATTTTAAAATAAATTAATGCATAAAACTGATGGTAGAAAAAAGAAAACCCAAAACAAACCACAACACAACTGATCTGTTTAAGGCAATACTCTACGCAGACAGGAACAGAAGTACAACAGTGTGCTACATGTTCTGAACGGGAAAAGAAAAAAAAAGAAATAAAAGAAAATCTATACAAGATGCAGACTGATGCTTCGGGAGTGAAAAAACTCCCCAAACCAGATAATAAAACCAATGGCCAAGTTAAGTGCAGCATTAATACACTCTGCATGTCAAATGATTAGCAGGTTCCTAACATGGACTAAGGTCAAGCTACAACAAATTTATCTTCCTAATTAAAAGGTTATTCAGGTCAAACCCTACATTTAACTCTACTTTGCATTTGGCTGTTTCAGCTATGTTTCACTATATGCAAGGACAGCCGGAAATTCATCTCCTGCTCTTGAGATTAACGCAAAGGTCGGGAGGTCTCTCCTCCTGAAAGATATTTCCATTAAATACATCCAAAATGGATCTCGCTTTTGGTGATCCCGAAATGCCTCCCGCCACCCCCTCCCCTGGGGCGCCAGGCACCCCACGGGGGAAGGAGACCTGGGAAGCGTATGCTTGGGTTGAGTTTTTTCCCAAGCTGAGGACAGGACATGGAAGTGCAGATCTGAGCCGGACTCGGAGGAGTGCTGTTTCCCTGTCTGCCTAGAAATTCCTATCTGGAGCCTACTGAAAGCACTTTGCCAGCATGGGAGAAACCCAGCCTGGATCCAGGCTCTGGATCCAGCCACGACGTTTGCTATTAAGGTTGGTGAGAAGCTCCATACCTGCCGCGACAGCCAATGAACCCCAACTATTAATGCAGCCCAGAACTTGGCCACTGGAAGGTGGACAATAATCATAATGCCAAAAATATCCCCCTCTCCCTCAAAAAAGAAAAGAAAAGGGAGAGTAGCCACTTTCTGCCAGCTTCCCCCGGTGGATCCCCATCAGCTGCCACCTACGCAAGATCGGCAGCGCCAGATCTCACTAGCATCAACCCAGTACATTCCCAGTAAGGTGCGTGTCTGCAAGGTGCTGCCAGGGGGAAAAGAAGCTTCTTGGGACACGGTCAGAGCCTCCTGTGCTGCCCTGCTAGAGTGCGTGCGGAGGAAGCTATGGTGCACGAGGAGAGGAACCCAAATGGAATTACGAGACGCGTGATGGCCAACAACTGTCCGGGCTGCCCGGGTGGGAGATGGGGATGCAGAACTGGGCTGAGAATCACTTTGGTGCAACTGCCTCTGATGCTCATCACCCGTCCACGGGGCCGGGGGGAGGAAAGACGACGGCTGCTGCGAGACAAGAGGAGTGGAAGGAGGACGTGTGCAATATAACGAGGCTTGCAATTCTAGGACTAACCACTGGGCACGGACACCGAAGACTACCTGTGACAACTAAATATATGTCCTTCGACCACCGCTGCTCCTTCCCCCACTTCCTGGCCTGATGCTCTCTTCCATCTGGGCTCAGCCACAGGATGTAATGAGGTCTGGAAGTCGTGTATTAGCGCCACAGACCCGCTCTGCACGCAAGTAGCGCCTGCTTTCAGACCCTTCACAAAGCTATTTAATGCTAGCTCATTTCCTTTATTAAACTGAAGGTTCAATAACCTCGGTGGGAGGAGTAAAAATGGTTAAAAATGTGCAAAAAGGGGGGGAACACGCCCCCCCCCCCAACTTTCCGAATTTTCTCCCCTGCAAAGACTTCACCCTTTGCAAGAGTCTTTCTCCCTGCAGAACTACAGCCCTGCCAGCATGTCTTACAGCTCCCAGCCCCAGCACAGCCAACGGGCATCCCATCACATCTCTCCAGCTTGCACCAGGAGGACATGGGCTGGCAGGCCTGGGACTTGGGTCCCAGACCTCCCACAGCACTGAGACTGGGAGCGTGAAGGCGGCCAAGCTTGGCTTGCTGGATCACATTGCCTGGTGAACCCTCAGCCCCTCAGCCTTCAGGCGGGTGAGGAGAAAACCCAGCCTGCTCCCTGGATCACCCATGATCTTGTTGGATCTCCACAACTGTTGTGTCTCCCACTGGTCTGACATTTGCCTTGGGTTTGCCTCAGGGCAGAGACAGCTACAAGCTGAACAGAACTGCTACTGCAGCTTTTCTGTGCAAAGAGACCAAGTAAAGAAATATGTGAGCTGGGGATGCAGATAAAGGTGATAAAAACCAGAATGGCTGTCATGAAGAGACCTTGTCCAAGTTTTCCAGCTCTCTCCAGGCATCTGTATTACATCTCCCAACAAAATTTGCATCTCCCAAACCATGCAGGCTCGAGGAAGGTGAGTAACAAATGGAGTTGCTGCTCTTCTGGGGTGCAAGAAGCAAGAAGGCAGTCTGGGTAGAGAGTGGTGCTTCCCAGTGAGCTCACCTGGATCAGCTGGATGGGCACCTAGAGGAGAAATGCTGCTCCAGGAGGGTAAACACCTCGGCAAGTAACAGGACTTATCTCAGCATGGTGACCTTTTCTTTTCCTGGTGCCTACTGTGATAGTTTCCAGTGACACATCTGAGAGGGTCACATTTTAATGAACCTTCTATTCTACCTTCTAATCCCCGACGCAGTCCTGCCACCTGTGTCACCATGTGTCAGTATGGAAATGGCTCCACAGACCAAGCACAACCAGTGAGGCGGGTTCCTTCCGGGAGCAAATCCATCTTTTGCTGGAGCTGCTTTTCAGAGAAAGAGAAAGGCTGGGAGCCACCACCAGTGGCAAATGGGTCTGGGAAGCAACGGGAAGAGCTGCTCTCCACAGGCCTCAGGGAAACCTGCAGTCTCTCCTTCCAGTGTCCACACTGCTCTGCAATGTGGCTTGCTGTGTGGGCCACGGTGCTCTGCTCCGTGTAATCTCAATTAGCCCCCAGCCTTTGCCTCCCCAGCAAGCTGTCCAAGCAGAGCTCAGCCAGGCAGCGTTTAAGCTGCTGTGATCCTGGGATTGCAACCAGTGTCAAGGGTGGCAGGGTAGGCAGAAGAGGGGATGTAGCTGCAGTTTTTTGGAAGCGGGGCAGCAGCTCAGCTGCATAATACATACGGGAAGATAAAAGATGGATGCCAGCCCCTGTGAGAAACCTGCATTAATCTTCGGTAGGTAATCCCAGGTCTCAGCCTCTTCCCCTGTGCTAAATTGCTGGCCCTTCTGCTTCAGGGCTTGAGTAGCTCTGAAAGGAGGTGGGTTTGATGAGATGCAGTTCAAGATTTGGAGCAACACCTCTCACAGGAAAGCCTTGAAAGCAATTGACAGGGGTGCAATGCCCTCCTAGAGGTGAAAAAGCACCTTAAAATGAAGACTTTGGCTTCCTCTTAGGCTCAACCTAGCCCAGCTTGCTCCTTGCCCATTGATGCAAATGTTTCCTTTGAATGTGCAGCCTGAGCTTGCTGAGCCAAGCAGCAGCCAGGTGACAAAGCCTACTTCATTTGAGGTAAGGGTGGCCGTACCCCATGTGAGCTTGAAGGCAGAATGGAAAAGTAAAGGAAAAAAACAGGCAAAATGGCCAGTTTATACCCTCAAATGATTACATGGATGCTAAAAGTGAAAGCGTGAAACTGCCACGGGAATATCCCAGATGAGCCCTTCTGCCATCAGCACTCGCTATCCCAGTTGCTTACTCTTAGTAAGTCCCTTAATTCTACTCGCAGGGGATGGTGCTGTTGGGCCACCAAATCTTCTCACATGTTCCATGCAACAGCACGCAGATAGAAGCCAGTTGTGCGAGAGCCAGCTGCCAAATAATGGGGAAAACGCACCCTTGCCAAACATCTTCCCCCAAAAGCTGTTTAATTTCTCTACTAACCTGCACCCCGCAGCCTTCTGGCACACGCAAGCAACACCAGAAGCTGGCAAGCAGAGGGAAAGCTGAGTAGTACCTTGAAAATATGCATAAAATTTCTATAGCATGCTTTTTGCATCTCGCTTGCAGAGGCTATCAATGGTGCCCACCACACACTTGATGAAATCCAGGCAGCATCTTGGGAAGGCAGGTTTCTTCCCTGTGCTGCAGAAGGGAATGGACACCAAGAGGGGGTGTGACTTGCTTGAGGTTACAGCAAATGTGTACCAGGTGCCGGCAGCAGCAAGGGACCCCAGATCTCATCTCGGTGCTGTTAACAGTCCAGCAGACTCTCTGCAGCAGTATTTGGCCGCGGTGCCAGCTCGGGGGACGTGGTGTTTCTGGTGCGTGCATCTGGAAGCGAGCTGTGCTCCCTGCTGGTATCGGCACTGCACGGAGATGGATTAACTCGGACAACTGGGATCTGCCCTAGGCCAAGACAGCGCTTGGCAACCTTTCTAGTTACTGCTTGTTTTCCTCTTCCTGTTGTTCCATCTGGTGCCCAGCTGGGTCCTTCCTTTCTTCAAAAGCGTCTTCGTGTTTCTGTTGAGTCACACACGGAGCGCTGTGCTTTCCAAGCCTCCTGGCTGGCCGCTGCACAGCTTGCAGGACAGCCTGAGGACAAGGCTCTGCATGGAGAGGAAAGGATTCTACACAGGGTGGCAGACCAACGTGTCAGCCAGCAGAGAGCTGAGCGGAGCAGGCGCCTCCTTTTGGGAAAGGAGCTGGAGAGACAAACCAGAAGCAGCTGAGTCCATCCTATCCACAGGGGAGCATCCTGAAGTCCCTTTAAAAGAAGTCCATGCAGCAGGCTTGGTCGCCTGCTTTTGGAGTCGCAAGGCATCTGCAGACAAGACAGCCAGAACAGCATAGCAGACCCAATGGCCAAGCGTACATGTTGGAGGGTGGACATGCAGCAACGTCAGATATGCCCCAGTGGCTCTTCCAAGGGTTGGCTTCAAGATATGTCCGACAAGACATCAAATGAGCCTTTGGGATGGTCACCTGGACATCAGCCTTCTTTCAACCAAAGTTTATTTACAACCACCGGAAAAGCAGACTAGACCACACTACCTAAAGAACTTCTTCAACACTAGGAGGATGTTCCTCCTCACACCGACATCTCAAAACGGGGAGTTTGCAGACTGGAGAGACAGAGCTGAGTGCTGAGACCCTGGAGTTCAAAGCCAGCTCACATACAAGGGCAAAATTAACATCTGACAAAAGGAAAGGACTTCTTAAACTCAGGTAATTTAGTGACAGAGATTACGCAAAATCCTAACAAAAAGCCAGCCTGGCTTTAGGAGGCATCAAATGCAAATCCTGTCTGGAGGCACCAGCACCAATATCTTTAAATCCCATTTGCACGGTAATTTAGGTGGACAGCAATGCAGACTTCCATACTCCATCGTGCTCCTCCCCTTGGTATTCTGTCCAACTTTGGACTGAAAATGGGGCCTGAGAAGACCACCTGGTTTGGTGCTAAGACTGGAACAAGCAGTGATTTGCTTTATCGCATGCCATCTGCATTTAGGAGGGTGCCCAGCAGCTCTGAAGATTTTAGGGCTTTATAATGTTGTGACAGAGTTTGGGTCTGTGCTTTCTGCTTTTGCCTTCTGTAGGCCATGGTGGCAGAGACTGGTCCTAAGGAGAGCAGTGCCAGGATGGGCCACCTATCTACACACCTTTCCCGGGAAGTCACCACAGTGTAACCTCCAATGAGGGCACAATAAGACCTTCTGGCTGAAGCAAAGGTCTGAACGTGAGACCGGACAGGGAGAGCCAGCCCAGCCTGTGGTTAATACACACTGAGAGGCTGCCCACCATATTCCATAACAAGCCAAAAAACACACCACCTGGTCACAACCTGCTTAAAGGGGGCTGCAGTTCAGAAGGGTTAGTGTTCAATTTTCTGTGATAGCCACAGGTGCATTGCCTTAATCCATTCAGCCTTCCTGATAATGACCTTACACAAGTTAACTACTTTTCCCCACCCTTTCTACTTTATTTCCCTAATAAAATATATGAACACAAAGCATAGAGAGGAGAAGCCAAAAAATTGCCATTTTATGGTCCTGTACTGTCATGCCAAAACCAGTTATTTGTGCAACGAACTCCTTCCGTGCTCAGGGAAAAAAACACCCGGCTTGTGCTTCCATCTGTGTTTGGAGGAAGCACTGGGTGTAACACTGAAATTCACCTCCTTCCCTCCTAAAGGCTTGTGCTAGAAGCAGATGCGAAGGGCCGAGGGCAGTTGCAGGGCTGTGGAATGCCTCAGGGCACACAGCAGGCAAAAAACAGCCAAAGGGGCAATAAAAAGGCTTGCTGGTGGTGCCGTGGGCAGGGGTTATCAGGGAAGGTCTGTCCTTCAGCAGGGAGGTGTTAACCCTGGGAGGTACAGCATCCGCAAGCCCCACTCTGTCTTAGACTGAACATTGACGGCAGCGCGACGGAGACCTGTGAGAGCTGCAGTCCTCCACGGCTGACCCAGGTAAGGAGATGGCTTGTTGCTCTAGCAGGCACACTGAAATGCTCCGAGCTCCTGAGCGAGGGCTGTGGGACAGGCAGAGCGTGCACAGCCCGGCTGGAAGGCACAGAGACTAACCCAGGAGGATAAATGCCATAAAGACGTTGCATGGTACCAACGCTGTCCCTCTTTAGAAAAGCGAAGATTTAAAGAGATGTCCGATAGGATTTGGTTTGACCACAGGTTTTGAATATATTCCCCATTAAAAGACTCCTTAAGGAATGTTTTTTTTCTTTTTTTCCCCCTTTTATCTATCTACACAGCATTGTTAGAGCTCTTCCCTCACTTCCAGACAACTTGCTAACCTCAACCTGAGCCAGCACTGGAGAGGAAAGCAGGCACGTGAAGTGAGCAAGAAGTGAAAAATTGGAGACCTGCTTCTTTACAAACATTGTGGAAATACTCCCTCCGAGTGTTACTGGGCGGTGAGAAAGGGAGAGGAACTCACTTCAGAAACACTCTTCCTCGAGGAGCTGGCAAATGAACCAGTATTTCTGCGTGAGGAGGCAGGGATGCTCAGTGAACAGCATCTCTGCGTCCTCTTTCCGTGGCCTGGAGCCAGAGTGGCAGCACCCTGTTTTAGGGAGGGCAGGGGGGGCAAACAGTTGCCCATACCAGCTAGTGAATAACAAAGCCCAGGAATCCTGTGTGCCTGCTCTTTTTGCTCTCCCTGTGGATGGTATCGTGCTTTGTGCTGCACAGAGCGAAGCCCCAGGATGTGAAATAATCCTCCTCCTCATGATGAAGAGGACTTGTTGAAGACTGGACTCACTCCATGCAGGTTTCAGACGGGGGGCCTGTCTGTCGGGGGGGAGACTCAGGCCCTGCCCTGTGACTCGGGAGTTCCCTTGGGAAGCTCAGAATTGGCCTCGCTTTTTCCCTTCCCTGGGCTACAAAGCAAGTGATGACCCAAGGCAGGCGGTCCTTCCTCCTGGGCAGAGCAGGAAAACACACAGTCGTGCCGGTGGCAAAAGATTTTGATGCTGAGAAAAACGCCTGGGCCCTGAGCGTACGCTGAAGGCAGCAGTGTAAGGCCGGCCAGGGAGGGGACACGCTTCCGAATTCCAGAAATTATTTTGCATTAAAAACAATCTGCCGGTCAGCTGGCAATTCAGCCCGGCCACCTCATGTAACGCCAGATTTCCTGACTTACCCCAGCACCAAATAAACACAATTTTGCTGCCGACACGGAATTGCTCTAACACAGACCGAGCCCGGTGCACAAGTGGCCAGAGGTGGGATAAACAGTAGCTTCCTCTCATGGTTTTGTTGTTTGTTTTGGGGTTTTTTTTGTTTTTCTTTTTTTCCAGCTGAAGCTGTTCATAACCCTGCTGCTGCTGAAAACTCCCCTAAAGCCTGACACCACCACCAATCTCTCCCACAGGCACCAAGAGACACAGTGTCAAGAGAATATCAAAAGTTGAGCACTGTAAAAACGTGCTTTCCTCAACTAGCTTATCCGGCACTGACCTTCAGGCTGCACAGCTCCACTCCCGTCTCACGCAGGGCTCTATTTTTCCTTAGCTGAAGAAAGTTTAAGATTTTTGGAAGCAGGTGGGTCTTGCAGGAATTAAGTATGGGCTGAAGTCAGTATAGGTGCCTGGACTGAACGCAGGAGCGCGGTATTCTTGGGCAAGGCCTGAATCCCCAAAGAGTGCGGATGGATTACAGATCGAAGCTGATGTGTTCAGTGACAATTTAACGTGGAGCTAAGGGTAGACGGCATTGGATATGTGACACAACAGCTCTAACTAGTACTGACTCACAGTGAAATGCCACCTATTTGTCCTCTTCACAAATGAATGGAGTGTGTCATGCTAGTCCTTGCCATAAGAAAGGATGCCCTGGTCCATTTCCATTCCTGTGCCCCCACTTACAGTATCATTTTGGTTATGCAAATGAAACAGGTTTAGTGAATGAATTAAGAACTGACTTCCTCTCACTGGTAAACCCCCCTGACACCTCAGACTCATCCCCTGATTTTGGTTTTGGTAGGCAGGATTACCTGCAACCCCATCTGACCCTTCCCATTCTGGAACAGACACCTTAAAAAATATCCCCAGTGTCTACACAAACCAAGGAGGTACCTCTAGACCCCTCTGAATTTGCTCTCCAGACCAGTCAGTTCTGCCAGGCACTGCCTGGCACTTTGAGCAACTTTTCTTTTGTTTAACCATAGTTTAAAATAACTTATTGACCAATCATAAAATGAATTTTTTGGTTTCTCCTGGCTCCATGAACACAAAGAGGTGCACGTCCTACCATAGGAGGAAGCAATGGCTGTTAAGTTTTACAGTTATAGTGGAAAGCACTGATCACAGCCTGCCGGCCTCACTACTGGATGTGACAGGCGGTGGAGGAGGTGGCTTGGCAACACATGCAGGTAGGGTTGACCGATTTAGGGGGGATTAGGTCGAGGTCCTCGTCATCTGGGATCTCATCTAACCGGTACCCATCCTTTAGCAGCTGGATGTTCAAGTCTTGGTTGATCTGCTACAGACAAAGAGACAAACAGTCAAACACTTGACACTTCTTCCTTCTGATGGTGGGAAGATGAAGGAGGATCCTAATTCTAGAATACATTTCCCCCAATGAAAGGGTCTCAGTTTTTGACCACATGTGAAGGCTGCCTTCTTTTGTTCTAGTTTCTTCTGGAACAGGAGTATCTAGAATGAGATATTCCAGACCAGCAAATTGATACACTATTTTATTCTGGAGTAATCCTTCCATGAATACAAACCCTCATTTAAAGTAATGTAATAACAATTATAATAAACCACTGGCAGCTGGGCAGTCTCTCCTCTTAGTCTGGGGCACACTATAGCAGCTGGAAGGTGGTGAAGCCTCTTGGCTCTTTGTAATCTCAGATTCAACTGCTGTCTAACTAGATTTGGGTGAACAACACTTCATCGGGGCTCACAGACAGCCCAGATCATTTCACCTGGTCCTTGCTCTTGGTCTTTTCTTTGTGTTTCAGAGGTATTTTTCCGAAGGAAGGAACACAAGGGTAAAGAGTTCCCAGCAGCTTGAGTGCAGAATGGCTGCTCAGACCCCACAGAAGCAGATGCCAGAGGGCGAGCAACTAATTCAGGAGAGAGCTTGGGAATATATTCAGAAACAATGCAGAGGGATTAACAAGACTGAGCTTCCTGCCTTTTCTCCCTGAAAGGACAAGAGTTCATATCTGCAACTCCTCCCTGGAATTTCTGCCTGCTTCACGTAAACATGCACTGGGTGACCCCCAACCCCCACCCCC